TCCAGCGTGGAGGAAACTGTTAGTGGTGACAGATTTGCATGGTTTTGCTACACAATATAAATCAGGAAGAGGAAAGGTTACAGTGACATTGTGCTCATGGCTAAATTAGAGACTCCAAAGTCTTTAGTTGCCCAAACATTAACTGTGCTGTTTTCCTCTGTAAGGCAGCCAGCCAGCCTTTGTGACCTGACGAACAAAAATAAGCCGTTTATCACTTTTGCACTCTTTGAACTTGAACTTTTGAATGATAATGACACAAGAGTAAATACTAAGTTGTTCGCTCTAATCTGAGTCTGAGAAAGATCTTACCTCATATGGAAAACTGCCATTTTAAAAAGTATGATCAAGAACAAAAAAAGTATTTATAAACCTTGCTCGCATTCTAATTTTCTTTCCTTCTAAAGTTTTTTCCATATAAATCAGAGCAATCTCTAGATCTTAGAGTTGTAAACCACTGGAAACATCCCTAATGTTTCCGAATGAACGTCAACCCGTCCCTGTGATTAATAGCTAGGAGCGAGATGACAGATATTCTGTGAATAACACTTTCAGTGCAGAGCTGTGCGTGCTGACATACGAAGAGCATTGTTTAAACCCGACAGCCCAGATTTTATAGCTGCTGTGCATGGTGTAAGCGGCTACAGGAGCCAACTCCACGCAACTGCCAGTAATGTCAGACAGAATGATTCACTGCTGCTCCGCCAGCGCACTCGATGTCTTTACGTTTTGTTTTTTCAGCTTATTGGAAGAGATGATGCACTCACACGTGCGAAAAAGAGTGCGCTTCACTCAAATGTTCCTTTGCAGCAGGCGCTGAGCGAACAGCGCCCGCCGCTGTTTCCCACAGCAAAGTGACAATTTGTTTGTTTTTCTGGACGTTCAAAGGATTCCCCACTCTGGGGATGTTGTGACTCAGAGGCCAGTCATCTCTTCTGCAAACAGACAGCATTAGGCACTGACAGCAGAGATGGAAAGTGAGGACAGTCCTCACAGACCTACAACAACACATCACCACTGTGCACCTGGCGCGCCAAAGAAAACCGCTCCAGTTTGTGCAAATTGCTGCTGTCCATGTAAAACATTTGAGCAGCATGCAGAATACGATCCATTGTTATCCATGAAAATGTGGTGGTTACTTTTCAATAGAGACTTTTTGATGTTTGTCACGATGCTGCCCTTCCTGTGTGACTCCTTAGACATGTGTTTTTTGGTGAGGAGAACCTGTGATCAGGATGGAGACCGCTGTGAAGTCCAGCATTCCTCCAGCTCATGCCACATCTCCTGTCTTAGATAAATTTCTTCCTGCTGCATTTGGTGCGTTATTGGCTGTAAATTAGAATTGAAAAAGGTCAGTAAAAGATCAGTAAGCATCCAAAAGGTGCATCAAAATGAGTTAATTTTACCCATTGCTTTGCACACTTCAATTCTAAACTAAATCTCTGCATTATTAATTCGATTTATTGCATGGAAGAGGGTGCATGCAAACGGCAAAGACACATAGCACATTGCATGGGAGAATTTTACAGTCAATTCATTCAGATGAGCAGTTGGCAAAGATGTTACATTTTTATGTGGCACTAAATCCCGCCAACAAAGTCAGCAACTGATCCGGGAGTTAACTTTAGCATATTAATTGTCAAAGCAGTGGCAGATTTAGTAGACTGACAGTCCTGACATGCTAGTTGCCAGCCTAGACATGCTAATAGATAGCTTAGTCTGGCTAATACCCAACTAAGGCCATGAATGATCTGAGTAGCTGTATTAGACAAATGACCTACTGTCTTGGGAAGGAGTAGACGCCTTCTCATTTATCACCATCGACTCCTTAGTAAGTGGCATCCGTTTATCAGAGCTGGTAAAATTAAGCCTTTTGATGCTAAATTGACAAATATTTCCTCCGCCAGCTTCAAATCCGGGGAGATTTGGTCCATTTTAATAAAAGGGAAGTGCATCATTTGTCACACCTGGGGGAAATGTTGGTGTTTTTGGTCTTGTCTCCATGTTGTCTTGTCATTTCCTGTTTTATTTTGAAAGATGCATCCCTTTGTTTCAGGTCACTTGCACTTCCTGTTGTGTTCCCAGTCTGTCTCCTTGATTACCTATTGTCTGCACCTGGGGATCCCTTCCCTCATGTGTTTAAATAGTCCTCGTCTCCCTTGTCCCGTGCCGGTGTATTGCGTCTCATGACCACAGTGCCTCTCGACCTCAGTTATTCCTTGCCATAGTTAATCCTTGCCTCCTGAATTTTTGCCTCCTTTGAGTGCTTTTCTGTTTTCCTCCTAGATGATCATTCCTAGTGAGTATTTCTTTGTTACTTTGTACCTTGCCCTTAGTCATGTTGTTTTGATACTTTGTTCACAGCTTTGATTTCCTCATAAGAGTGATTATATTTTGATACTTTGTTCATAGCCTTGCTATCTTGTTTTGGTACTGTGTCTCCACTCTGAGAGTGCGCCTTTTGTTCAATAAACCGTTTTTTGGAACTAACCACCTCTCTGCGCCTGAGTCCTCCCTAAACCCCAGCCCCCTGACATCATTAGGTTCACTGTAAAAACCAAACAAACTTCATAAGTGCATTGGTGTGTTTCTGAGTACACTGCTGCCATGAAATGACCACAGATTGGATGTTTCAATTGATGCGCTGATTGTTTTTTTTCCCAAAAACATCCCTTTTTTTTTAGAGGAAGTGTTTTATTGAAGTGAGAAAATTCCTAGGAGGACACCAAAAACATGCATTAACATACCACTGCAAAGCCAAGGTTAGCGAACCTGGACTTACTCACTTATTACCCGTAACTACCCCTTTGGAAATATACATCTATAACTTTTGGCACACAGACCTCTAATAACAAACGGCTAACAACCAGTCATTACAGGGGCTTGAGCAGGAGATTTACAAATCTTAGGTTCAACTGCATTGAATAAGTTCCCCTTGCTTGAAAATGGTTATTCCATCAAGGGCACGGCAAGCTGCGTGATAAAATCTTGTGATTTATTCCAGGCGGCTGATAATTACCGGTGTCTTGTCACCTGTCAAAAATGAATGGACAGGGAGAGTCCGAGGCTGTAGTCTTCATGCTCTTTACACCGCCGCAGTAAATCTGACATGTTTGCGAAGCCATAAATCACGGCTTGGGATCAAGTCTACACACTGCTCGGAGCTGAGTGACAGGGGCTGAAACATTTCAAACAATTTCAGCTATAAAAGTATCCAGAATAGGTGTGGCGAGCAGAGAACTGTGAGTGGTAGCTTTACGATTTTGCAGGAATGGAACAACGCCAACTCAGACCAATTCTGACTCAGACATACAGGAGTCTAGTTTTTTAAAGAAATACGAGTTTGTTGATTTAAAGAGCGGCATGTGTGTGCAAGTACTCCTCTGTTTTTGACTATGTTTAGAGTTGTTCATCTTGTGGCGTTTGAATGTATCAGTGCAATTATTTGGGGCAAAACTGCACATATGTGTTTGTGTGTAAAGTGGACTCTAAAGTCCTGGATTCAGCAAGCTTTGAAAACTTTCCCATGAATGCGTCTCTGGACTTCAATTGTTCAAAAGCTTGGAGTCTCAGAGCAGCACACATACAATAAAAAGGAGAGTGCAGGAAGGAAGCAATGCTGCTCAACGACCCCCCTGGTTCAGCGTCTGAGGGCCAGCTTTTTAGTAACCTGCCCAGAACTTGGTCCCACACCTGAATCAGCCTTTATTTGTCGTTCTTGGATCTAAAACACTGAACTTTGTTCACGACTAAAATGAGATAGAAGAGTAAATAATATATATTTTCTGTTTTGAGCGCTAATTTGGTTATGAAAGGCTATTATTTGATAGGCCAGGTAATAAACAAACAAAAGTACATCAAAGTTTTAACAGATAATGCTACGTTTCCATCTAAATGTATCCCCATCTTTACAGGCCAAAAGTGATGAGGGATCGATAACGTATGCCGGCAGCAATCACAGGGTTCTAATTGTGAAATATTTACCCTTGTTTTTCTGGCTCTTTGAAGTCTCTGGCTTGCTCTGCTCTTGTCCTCGGGTGCTGCCCAGGCCTGATTTATGGGAATGGGTTCCAGGACAGCTACTCTAAATTACATGGCCCTTAAACCTGAGCAACAGAGACCGAGAGGGGGGGAATCGCCACTGTAGAGACAGCTAATTGCCAGGATGGCTCTACCCTATGTGAGATAAGACGGGTTCTCTTTTCCCAGTCTTGACAAACGGGGAAACGCATTTAACCGATTAGGCCACTTTGGTAAGTGTACAATTTGTCACAGATATCCCTAAGAGAAATATTTTTGGAGGATCTAATACCATTAATAGTCACAAGTGGAAATGCAACGCTGTGAAATAAAACCTGCAAAGCAATGCATACCCTGAGAATGATTTTATCTGTAACTTCAGCCAAATAATCTCTAAGCAGTCATTTAGAAAACAGCTTAATTTAACATATTCATTGAAAGTTTAAAAGGGCATAGATTGAGCATAAAAATCAAAGAAAAGTGGAGTCGTGATAACCACCAGAAGAAAACCCCCCAAAATTATGTTAAAGTCATCGATATTTTGGATGGGGAGTTTTTGATTATACCCCACAAACAGAAGCAGTGTTAAAACTTCTCTGTAAGATCCTGTGAGGGATGTGAGGGAGAGTCAGAGCAGGAGGAGGAGGTGACAGTGCCATTTGCCTGGAGGGCACCCATAAACCTGGAAAGGGAGAGAGAGTGCACCATTCCACACAGGTGACTGTACCATGTGACTTCAACATCTTTAAAAAGCAGGCCAACCTGTCTTGTTGGAGTACAAGTAACCACAGAGCGCCAGAGGAGTCACGGGGAGAGAATATATGGGCTGCCGGCAGAGCAACAAGCACTGACAGTCCTACTGAACTAGCAACGAGGCGCTCGGGGAGCGTTTTGAGTGGGGCTCAGCCTCCTATCGCAGCAGCTGCGGCATCAGAAACAGGACTTTTGCTGTGACTTTGGTTGTGGGTTGCATTGTCAACACAATGAGCTGCAGCAGTGTTGCGGGTTCAGAGTTTTCCGAGGAGGAGCTGGAGCTCGGCGTGCTGGGACAAGGTGAAGATGAGGGAAGTCCAAAGCCATCCTTCCAGGACAGCGAGGGCTCCACCTGCAGCCCCGGCGACCCCGAGGAGAGCCCCTCCAAGAAGCGCAACCGCCCTGTCCGCTCCAAAGCGCGAAGAATGGCTGCAAACGTACGGGAGCGAAAGCGCATCATGGACTACAACCAAGCCTTCAACGCTCTCCGCGTGGCTCTGAATCACGACCTCAGCGGCAAACGGCTCTCCAAGATCGCCACTCTTCAGCGAGCCATCAATCGCATCTCCGCTCTCTCTGTGTTCCTGAGCTCCAATCCTCCCAGCAAGCCCTGCACCCACCGGGAGTGCCACAGGTCACCCGCGGGCTCGGGAACGATGGCGGCGTCTCGCCTGGAGCAGAGCAGGGGGACGGTTCCCCGTCTGGAGCATCAGGGCTACGTCCCCTGGCACGCCTCCGTCCCCCAGCAGATGCAGCCTCAGCAAGGGCCCCACGTGCACAGGCTGGCCGCAGACCCCCACGTCTACATGGAGGGCGCTGTGTCGTCGTGCCCCCCGTCCCCACACTACCCTTGTTATCCAGCCGAGGGTCAGCTTTACGCCTCACATGGACACTACAGCAGCTCCCACGATCACCCGCCCAGCCCGGTGCGCTACCCTCAGATGGGCGATGCGGCGGGGTACCAGCCGGGGATGTGGGCCTCCTGCACTCAGGGATACATCGACACTTTTATGGAGCCGCCAGCCACCCTCGGGCTTCCGTGGCAGGTGAGCTACCTGCAGGAGCCGGAGCACAGCCTCCCTTTGTGCTGAGATGAACTCTAACAGACTAAATCCTCTGAGCCCTGATGAACAGCGGGACAACCAGAAAGGACACTGATTTGAGGTTTTCGGGCTGTTAACTTGACTCCACTGTACTTGTGATGTAGAGCCATCTTAAGTCAACACACGAATAGATTGCATATGGCTGCGTGCACTGGGAATGGTCCTGTTATCATGCATGTCAAGTGCATTGGAATTTTTTGCAGGGTTGTGTGTTTCTGCTGAAACCCTGCATTAAAACCATGAAAATGAAGAGAATTGTCCATTTACTCTCTTTACTTGAGCTTAACTTGCATGTTAAGAACATTTGAGAAAGATCTTTTTCTAAAGTGAAACATTTGCCAGTGTATTTATTTTGTTTATTGCATAAAAAGTACATGTATTTTTTTGAAAGTTGTGCCTCGTTTTTGTTATGTAAACTTTGAAATTAAATGATACAACTGTGCGATTCTTGTAATGCCTTTATTCCAAAGAAAAACAACACTTTATGTTCTTGGAACAAGCTAACAGAAAAAGTGAATGAGTGCATGCGTGACCGTGTGTATGCAAATGCCTGCAGAGGTGTGTGTTTGATTATAGCCTAAGGATGGTAGTCTTCACCGTTTTGACTGTGAGATGACAGAGGTCCTTCACTCAGTTGAGAAATGTCCTTACAAGTCCAATCTTGTCATATTTTCTTAGTGGGGGTGTAAAGGTGTTATTTACACAAGCTAAATGTTAGCATTAGCTGAGAGCAAGGAGGACATCGCTCACAGGGCTCAACCTAAATTTCAATCAGCAATGCAGGAGCAGGAGCTTCCCCCCCTTCTATTTCTACTGTACGTCCTGGAAAATAAATTTGGACAATTAACAAAAAAACTGCATCAGCAGGAAGAGGGTCAGCAAGCTGATTCTTGGGTAAAGAAGAGCGAGTTCTAATCACAGCCCAGCCTCCCGGCCACACCTGATCGTGCAGCTTTCCCTTCCCTGCTGAGCAGCATGTCATGGAAAACAGATTTAATATTAGACCACAGGACAGAGCCCACCGACAGATTTATGTGGGTTCAGGAAGGAAGAGTGTGCCCCGTCATCAGCGAGGTGAAATCCCCTGCCTGGCTGCACCGGCCCGCAGGTAGAGCGAGGTGTGTAATGAGGTTTTTGAACATCCCGGAGGTCTAAAAGCGAGCGCCTGCAGTAGCTGCTGGAAAGAGTTGGCCCAGGGAGAACTTCTGTGGGCTGATTGGAGAAATAAGTGGTGTGGCACATCAGCAATTAGCAGGCAGGAAGGAGAGGGGAGACGGACAAAGAGATGAATGGAGAGGAGGAGCAAAATAATAGGAAGAGGAGGATGTGGATGGTGAGAAAAAGAAGAGTGACGACACTTTGAGCCCGTTGTTAAACCTCAACACAGACTTGAATCACTGGGAAAGCTTGACTCACCAGTGAGAGACGAGTGCGGCTGACAGCATTCGGTGACGGCATGTCTCTTCCTCCTCCCTTTTTGGCACAAAAGCTCGTCTTCACTCACTCCAGCGGTGTTTTATGAACTCATCAGGGGTCTTTGAGAGACTCTAGAGTAACAGTGGGACGAAGGAACCAGACATGAAGCATTGTGCTTTTGTTCCATTAGGAAGGAGTGCAATCATAACTGAATTAGTAAAATAAGCAGACGTGTGCAGAGCATCACATTTTCAGTCACACTTATGGGGAGACCCGCAAATATGACTTTGCACTAACGTAAAAGATTCCTCAAACTATCCGCTGAGCTGCATGTGACAGTGAACGGTTCTTCGTCAGAATGGATTATTGTGCTTCATTTACAAGCAAATTCAGAAACAGGACTGAATCCAGATGACAAATTAAGTCGATATCAACTCAAAAATGAAAGATTGTGAGGATCGGCTTCATTTTGTTTTTGTTCTCTTACATGGGTCAAGCTTTTTGGAACTGATTTGGTGAGATCCTGACCGACTGTAAATTAGATTTTCCACAATCAGCAGAGAAGTTGTGGAAAAAATTACTCAAAACAGGGAGAGATCGAATGTATGGCGGCGTGGGACCTGTGAGAAAATCCATTATTTTATCAATCTCTTTCTTCGAGCCTCTTTACAGAAGCTGAACAGGTCAGTGTTTCAGTCTGACTTGTGCATCACCTGTGGATTTACTTCATTCATCAACAGCTTGCAACACGTGAGCCTTCCTGTGATGCATCGTTTCTTCAGACGGTTCCGCCTCCTCGACACCCGGGACGCTGCTCGGAAGGAGACGAAAACAAGCAAACACAAGAGAGATGATGTCAAAACACAGAGTGTTTGTGTGATATATGGAGAATGAGTCAGGCTTCAGGATGGATGTTGATGTTGATCACGCACACACACACATAAACAGGACGTGAGCATGTCAACACCTCATGATATAATTTGTAAATGTGTTCAGATTCTTCTTTGCCAAAAGTGAGGGCGTTGTCTTGAAACTGTTCCCATGACGTACGGAGCTGAACCTAAATCACCAGCCGCTGTCTGAAATGCTCCACGCTGCAGAATTCAATATTCCGTCATAAATGTGTGTCATCGAGAGACATTTCTTTGAAAAAAATTGTTTTTTTTTCAAAGACGAAAACTTTTTTTTTCAAATTAAATGTAAATAAAAAATGTCAAATTCTGAAAATTTGATATTTTGCAAATTTGAATTTACACTAGGAGGAAATATGATTCAAATGCAGGCCTGATTAATAGTCCAGAGTTTTTCACAATTAACTGTGACTTTTGAAGTCAGTCAAGCTTCATTAAATTCAGTTATCTGTTTAAAATGTTTCCAAAAGGAAGAACGCATAAAAAGTAAACAGAGATGGACCCATCCTATTCACCAGCAGACATAATTTTGCCTCCCTGAAACAGGCTGCAGCAAAGAGATCTAATTAGTTTTCACCTGTGTTGACAGCTACACAAAATGCTGACTATGAATTTAATTTACATTTTTTACATATGATATTCATAATGTCTCCACTTTATCTGACACTGCATGTGTGTGCATGTAAGCAGATTTCTCACTAAATTCTTAAAAAGACACGTCTTTGAAAGTGCTTGTATTTGAAACATTAATCAGTTTTGCACTACTTGTCCAGAAATTCCTCTTATTTATGACCCTTTTGTTTTCATTCCATTTTATTGCCATTTTATTGCTATTCACAAACATTTTGGGAATTATTTTGAGGAATTGGTCTTCATTTTTTCATTTAGAATATCTGATAAGATAATAAAGTCCTTGATTATTCCCACACCAGAAAAATTCACAACGTTATCAGCATGTACAGTAAAGATAAAGAGGAGTGCAAAAATCAACCAATGTGCAGTTTGTGCAGTACTGATTTTCAAGTATCTGAAAGAAAGGTGTTCAGGTAAAATAAATGTGGAATGATATTCACAGTGTGTTTTCATTGCCTACTTTGTAAAGCGCTGTGTAAAAGTGCCACAAGGGTGAAGTTGAGCTGAGCCGTTGAGTTTGATGGCAGAAGCTGCTTCAAACATCAGCAGCTTGCTGTGACAGTTAGTCAGAATGTTGGGCAGCTGCTTTTTATGTGGCTGCTGCCACGCTGTTGGTGGTACTTTTCATGCTTGGCCTGCGTGTGAAATTGTCAGCTGTAACTGTGATTTGAAAAATCATTCAAAAGAGTACGCATTGCATGTACCAGCCTCCCAGAACCTGGAGCTTACTGAACAACTGGGAAAATCCTTTATTTTACATCCCGGGAAGAAATGGAAAGTAAAAAATGAGCCTTTTGATTTTAATCCTAAATGACCGACTTTACACTTATGTTTGTCTGTATCTAAATTTATGGTAAAGTGCTTACATGCCATGAGAACAATGGCAAGCCCCATGTGATGAACAGCATCTGTCTTGATACTTAAATTCATGCAAACATCAGGTCTGAAAGGCTGAAGCACACATGTTGCTACCAGTCAGTGAGTTGAAAATATAACCTTCTGTTTGGATGCCACTGCAGCTTGTACTGAATGCAAATCTGTAGGTTTAATACATTCTGAACACACAAAAAATATGTTTACTGTTTTTTGCATAACCTGAATGAAAACACCAGTAAATTTAGCACAATTTTAAATATTTTTTAATGTGAAAATATATCTACTAATAATATTATGCATAATACTATACATAATAATGTTATACATTCATATTAATTCTAATATTTTCAAATGACTTTTACAATTATTTAATTACTTGTAATATAAATAATTAATTTATATTGATTGTCTTGCTTTACTCACTTCAATCACTAAGTGTGAATGTTGATTTTGATCAAAAATTTGTAGAAATCCCCCCCAAAAATTAGAGGAAATCAAGCTGTATCATCTTGCTGCCTTTGATTCTTTGAAGGCGCTGTTTTAATAATAAATTATAGTTGTCTTTTAAAGTAGATCACACTTTTACCTTCAATTTTTATTTGGTTGATATGAACACATCTCAATTTCCTCAGTTTTTTTCCCCTTATTCTTTAGAAAAAGACCACATGCAGCTTGCTCTGTTGATGGATTAGAAAATCGCAGAGAAAAATGCTGTTTTATCCGTGAACACTAGATGGAAGCAAGACCATGAAAGTGGCAGCTGAATTCATCGATAGATCTACTGGATGTTGGTCATTTTTGCAGTTTTTAACACCATTTGGGCCAAATCTGGACGTCATTACCTCCAAGCCAAACTTTCCAGGACCAAAAAATCCTGTTTCAGGCCAAATGTGTCTATATGTTTAATATTGTTGGCTTGACATAAATAATTCAGCTTTCTCTAATAGGTATCAAATTGTTTAAACTTGACAGTAAATTGACTAGTAAATAAGACACCAGTTACATTGAAAATGGCTGCCAAAGTTTTTGAGCCCATGTAGTTCTACGGAGGACTCTGAAAATATATTTTGCACGTTAAATCATACTGCATCTCAGACACATTCTACTTGAAAGGCCTCCAAACCCTAAATGCTTGTCTGAACTTTTCTAAAC